TGGCGTTTGACGGATGCGCATATTATTTGAGACGCCAGAATATGGCGTTTGTACAGACGAGGGGTTAATATATATAAATTACGTGTCACGTTGTTTGTCCGCGATGGACTCCTAAACTACTCAACCGATTTTAATAAAATTTGCACACCGTGTGCAGTTTGGTCCAACTTGAGAGATAGGACAGCTTTTTTGCCCATGAGTGACCCACAATTTTTTTTTTTGCAAATTTAAGGATTTTTAATAGGACATGGCAAAGGGTCGTCTAAAAGGGCAGAACAACGTTTGCCTTGCAAGCTAGTATATATACAACATGTAACATAATTAGCGCACTTTGAGAAAGTAGTTTGTTCAGAATCGTTTACTGATTCGATTCCTATCATTTTTAATATAGGTAATTTTTTATCCCAAAAATTATTAAAACTACGTAAATTACAGTCACATTAAATCTGTACAGTCATAACAAATTGAAATGGACCGTAACTTAAGGCAATAAGACTTTTAAGAGTGCAGTTTTATTTGTATTATTACTAAGTACCAGGATGATCGAGCTTCGCTATTATCTATTATTGCTATTATCTAATTATTTTATTGAAAACTTATTTTATAAGAATCAATAATCTACATAGATTATTGATTAATATATTCTTTAGTCGCAGTTTACTTACTTAGACATCGTTCAATTATATTATCTTGTACCTCATTATCTGTTTTTTCTAGTTCATTGTCTGCTAGTTTAGACATTGACATAAAAAATATCACATTATAATGACTGTTACAACGAATTTAAATAAAACCATTTTGTATTTGCTTTGTTCTAGTTTTCCTTTAGATAATAGACGGATGTTATAATCGTACCGATTTGCGCAACCAATCCCGTTACTGTTTGAGTTTGATGTAGCGTAAATATTTTTATTTGCGCGCTTGTTCGCTTGCATTTATATTTGAATTATATCAGTCTTGGAGCACAAATCAATGAAACTATTCTTTAAATTCTAAATCTGGAAATTTACTTATTTAAATTCATGATATTACATTGCGTGTTTTTTTTGTATTAAATATCCTCTGTTTTCCTTTACCGTTAAATACTTCATAAATCGGCACTTAAAATTATAATCAAACTTTGCTTTCGAAGGCAGGCGCCCTGTTCTTGATCTACCGCGGACCCCTAATAGCAGCCTTTCCGACTTTCCGAGGAAAGTACATTTCAAACATTTATAAATCTATCAAGGTTAAAGTATAAAATTAAAACGTACGTAACGGTAAACGCATTTTTTATCTAATTTGTAACAGGTTATGGTCCTGATAAAATTATGCTTATTTTACATTATCTCATCTTAGGCTTTGTGATTTGCATGAATATGATTATAGAAATATGTACTGCAGTTATTTTTAAATAATTTTTTTTCTGTAAGTGGGAATCAATGAAGCTGTAATTAGATATAAGAAATGTATGGAGTTCATAATGTCACCCGGCATGCTGATATTTGGTTTGACGTACTTATTAAAAACACCTAATTTCAGCCGCGTACTATAAATCAGGGTTGTCATAAACTGGAGTAAATATCATTCATTAGGACATAACTTATTTTGAGACTTGACAGCGTTAATGAAGATCAATCTTCTATGTAATAAACTTTGGTTTTTAAATTGAAAATTTAGCAAAAGATTTACTTACTTTTGTAACAGATATTTGTTGTATATTAAAAACACCTTATATTTTCACTATATTAGAGAAAGATAAAAACAAGCAAAAATAATTACAACTTTAATATTAAAGGAGAAAAACTCATGAAAAGCAAAGTGACTGAAGTGACGTGATTTGCGGAAATCTATGGACAAAACTTGCATCTTCAGCTGTGGGCTTGTGGTTTGCTGTAATGATGATGATGATGCAATAACTTGAATGATTAATTTAATGGAAATCGATGTGCTACATCAATATTTAATCCCAATTTACTTTATTGATTTGTGTAGTTTTAAAAGAAAATACGCATTTCTTGAAACCAAAACACAGTAAAGTGTTCAAACTAGAAGTTGTTACGAATTTATTAATGTGCCTCTTAAATTTACCTAGAATAGATACCTTCGAAAAACTTAAATGGCAAAACTTAAAGGGACCTATGCCTGCCTAGCATAGTCTAGCGTAAGGATCTTAGAGTGATTACTAGCATAGAGTCCTAAAATAATAACAAAATTGTTATAGCTGAACTCCTTATACATATGACGTTTAACATGGTACAAAATTAGATGGCTATATTATTCTTACCTTTTTTCTTTTACAAGGTGTCTATGGAATGGAAAAACGTTGCCGTTTTTCCTTTCCATAGACACTTCTATTGTTGTGCCATTAGCGAAACAAAAAACGTCGATATATGCGTTTTAGTCTATGACTTAAGTAAAATTAAGGATTTTCATTAATCCGGTTTGTAATACTTATTTACATCAATGAAGGCTTATGGAAGCTTCATCTGACACCTTATAATAAAAATGTAGTCGAATAATGCGGAATTTGACACTATCGTTGTATAATTTAAAACATATCGTAAAAATCATTATGGATTCTACTTAAATTCAACAGGTATTTTTCCGCTAAATTATACTTAGACTTTTTTATTTCTTTCATAGGTAATAATAAATGTGTTTGTTTAATCGACACTGGGTTTGCATCACGGAACGTATACACAGAGGGCACTGCTGCGATAGCAGAAAAAATAACTGCGGCACGACTGGGGGCTGCCTTCTGTAATTTTTTTTATACTGGCCAAATTATGAAATATTTATTAATTATTACTATTTATTACTATTTATTACTTGTTGACGTTTTGTTATTATAGACATTTTACTCTTAAATATTATTATCTCGATATTTTATATGTAGTTCTAAGATTTGCATGCCGTAATATAATAATGGCTGATTAAGGAGATGTTTAATTACTATGACCATCTTCAGTGTACCTTAATCAAATGCATATTTGATTTGATTTCTCTTTTGTCGCTAGATCACAACTACCAATTGCAAACGTATTGCATTTGTCTTTCTTTTATTAAATAATTTTAATTTTATCTGTATCAATATAAAAATCCGTTTTTAGAAAGTAGAAGCTAATCGGTATTCGCGATAACATAGATTTTTTTATCACACGTTTATATCAATAATTGGCCTAAAGCATTTCATAACTCCTATTTTTTGTAACTATTTCTTTTTTGAATTAATTGTGATAGTGTCAAAATTCAAACAAAATTTGTTAAAGTTCCGGTTTTCATTTTTAATTTACTTATATTATAAAGCAGTGATATTACTTATCAATCAACATATTCTACCCTATACGTTATTCAAATACATAAGGTTTTCTATTATTATGCATAAAACAATGCATCATTCATATAGATAGAAACTAAAAATGCATCTAATTAGCTAAATACTCTCATTTTCAATTTAAAAAAAGAACATTCTTTTCTTAATGTATATAAGTTTGGTGCTATTGATCAATGGAAACATTTAGCTATTACTAATTGTAAATGGACGATAAAGATGGGTAAAAAATAGCTGAGATGCTACAATAAGGAAAGTAATAATTACTTTATACATAAGCGCAGCTGGGCGCATCGCAAGATCTCAAATCGATGGTCTCTAACGCGGTTCGCTAACCAGCTTTAAGAAGCATTTTATCACGTTTGGAATATAATTTCTATTGAAACTTGCAACAAAGTCATAACGTTCATGCCACATCGGTGTCATGTTTTACAACAGTACTACAACTATTGGTAATAAAGTTAAATATTTGTACATAGATTTTATTATAAACAGCTAAAAACTCCATACTTGCTCGTTTTTTCTATTTTGGTAATTATTTGGAATGTTTTCTAAGTGTCTTTAATTAGTTGTGCAGCTCTCAGTACATAAGAGAATGGACGTTTTAAGTTTACATGACTGAAGTTGTAGATTTCTCAAAATCTTATTTTACGTAATATTATATTTAAACTTGTAACGACATAGTACCTACCTACATGGCAACACAGAACAAAATATCTAGGTAGTAAGCATCAAGAAGATTAAAAAAAAAATTACTAAATTGGATATATTTTACAAATCTACGCCAAAGAATAACGTGATTTTAAATTTAAATCGAAATTAGTTGTCGATTATTTGGCAAAAATTTGACCAAGATCACTTATTGTTGTATTAACTTTAAGAATAGAAGGAGAGTTGGCCGAGCAAGTAGATGAGTTTGTTTATCTGGGATGCGTATTTAGCTGGGATGGGAAATATGATAATGATATAGAACGACGAGTGAACACAGGAAATAGAGTAAATGGGGCTCTACACTATTGTGGAAAGTCAGAATGTATCAAAAAAGGCACGTATGGCAATATACAATGCTGTGTTAGTGCCTGCCTACTTTAACGTATGGTAGTGAAAGTTTGGTGTGGCAGAAGAAGTATGAGAATAAAATAAACGCAGTAGAAATGCGGTCGTTAAGGAGTGTGTTAGGGCAGAATCTGAGTGACAAGGTGAGAAATTGTGTAATAAGAGAAGTGTGGTATGCAAGATGATGTTGTGACGAGGATTAAGAAAGGAATGCTTCGGTGGTTTGGTCATGTAGAAAGAATGAATGAGGAAAGAGTGATAAAGGAAATTTATGTTGCTGAAGTGAACGGCAGAGTCGGTAAGGGACTCCGTAGGCGAAAATTTCACCCAAAAATTAGGGGCCAAATTAAGAGTAACCGACGAGCGTGTATGCGTAGAATGTGAATGTGGAAGAGGCGAGAGAGATGTGTCAGGATTGTGCCAAATAGAAGGCTGTAGTCTCTGCCTACCCCTCTGGGTGACAGGTGTGAGTGCTTATGTATGTATGTAACTTTACGAAAAATTTAATATCATATTGGATCCAGCCGTTTGCGCTTTTACCATGTTTAAATATATTAGTAGTTTCTTCTAGCTCCCTTAATTCTCTTCCCTTAAACTTTTGTTTTAAATTTCTGTGTTATATTCGTTGCAGATCTATCAACATTTGCGCTGGTACACGAATCCATCAGAGCAGCGCTGGATCGTTCGCATCCTATTCATCGTGCCGATCTACGGCTGCTACAGTTGGATCTCACTACTCTTTTTCAATGGCGACTCTTATTACGTTTACTTCTTCACCGTTAGAGATTGCTATGAAGGTATTTAAACAATAATTTGTCCTTTATATTACTAATCATAGCCTGTAGTCATTATTCAGCCCTTTAAAAAGCTAATGCCGAACATAGTCTATGCGCCTATATCCTATAGGCTTCCGCAAAGAGAAGTCCTAATTTGCTTTAATCGACTAACCGTCTTTAGCGCTAAATCAAGAAATAATATTTGCATAGAAATCTTAGATTCTTTTTTTGTATTTTTAAATAACGAGCGAATCGCTAACTATCCCTAGCTTATTAAATAGAAGTAATTAGCAAAAATGTATAATAAATATTTCTATCACCATTTTATATCAAGAAAAAATAATTTCGTTCCAGAAAGTCACAGTCGATAAAAAACAAAATTACAGAAAAAATGCCATATACTTCAAACATCAATTTTTGAAAAGTAGCTTTTTGTGAGTAGCGTCCTTTTTACTTATGTATCTATACTTTAGTTTAGAGTATAAATAAGTAAGCTATTTGCTTATAAATACTCTAAGATCTATAAATACAAATATATAAAGTTTAAGTGTCTGTAATGTCGAAACAACAAGTATAACGAATTTATACGAAAAAAAAACAATTAAAAAAAATTCTGTTCCTTTGTTTGTTCTGGCTAATCTTCGAAATAGCTAGACCGATTTCGACGATATTTTCACAGACAGATGGCTGATGTTATAAGGAGTAACCTAGGCTACTTTTATTTTGAAAATAATAAGGGTACCGCGTAAAAAAAATCCATGAAATTCAATCGTAATAAATTCCATGCGGACGTATTCGCAGGGGATATCTAGTGTCTAATTAAAACTGTTTGTAGAATTTCGAAGTAATATTTACTTCACCAATAAGACGGTAAAGAGTTAAAAAATGATTTTCCTTGTTGCAGCGTTCGTGATCTACAGTTTCCTCTCGCTCTGTTACGAGTACCTGGGCGGCGAGGGGAACATCATGTCGGAGCTCCGCGGGCGGCCGGTCCGCGCGTCCTGCGTCAACGGCACCTGCTGCCTCTCGGGAGCGACCTACACGATCGGATTCCTGCGATTCTGCAAGCAGGCCACGCTGCAGTTTTGCCTCATTAAGCCAGTTTGCGCTTTCATCATCATATTCCTACAGGTGAGCTATTGCAAAATATTTGTCAAGATTTATAAACATATCTGTTAAAATTTACATTAATTAGAACACGAAATGATATAATATTATGGAAATTACTCAAATGTAACATTTCATTCTTCTTCTTCATTATGATTGAATCATAAAAGACCGCGCTGAACATAGGCCTCCCCTATTATTGAGAGAATTGGTCATAATAGCTAAACTTGGCATGCTGCATTGGTTTGCGCGTTCATCATATTCCTTCAGGTGAGCAGTGGTACGCAATGATTAAATAAGTAAATTACTCAGATTACATTCAACACCTTCATCAAATAGTGACGCGAATTCTTATTTTACGACTACGATCATTACTTTTCCCCGATTAAGATTACGATTACTAAGTAAGAAAAGGAAAAGATAATCGAGTAAAACTAGCTCATTTTATATATTATATTCATTATCTTTTAAGAGGATTGTGAAGTACTGCGAGTAGGTATTTTCAAAAAATGCTATCTGTTTTATACCGATCGCTATGTGTATCGCCGTCTCATGCGATAGAGAAAGTTGCAATTCTCGTAGGTAATTGCCTCCAAATTCTTATTGAAATATTGTTTCGGGCGATGAAGTTTTCACCCCCCTAAATTATTTACAAAATGGGACAATTTTATCTCATTAGATTTAATACACTTTAATCTAGGTCTGTACGTTTTCTTTTTTTATAATTCAGTTTACTTTAATTAAAAAAAAAACGCTCGAGGAAGTTTTAAAATCAAAAATATAGATATCTAGATTTTAGATACTAACAACTTATATCATCATACACAATATTTCTTTAAAATAAAAACGTACAGACCTTGTATGTCATTTTATCCACGTTACCAAAAATTAGACTGTTTACGGGGGAAAAGGGGGGGGGGGGTACGTTAAGATAGGACCTGCTGATTGATCGAAATCGTGAAGAACCTCGACTGAAATTGTCGATTACAAAGTCATCACTGTCATCAAACTGAAAAAATCCACCGCTTGAGCGAAAATTTTCATAGCATTCTTTCACTGTAGAGAGAATTGGACACAATCGTCATATTTGAGAGACGGATTGGCAGTCGCAGCACCGGACGCCTCGTATTTATGATGCTACTTCCCGTCCCCGGTCTTGGTATTTCATGTCTGGCATAAACGGAGTGGATATATCTATCGGAAGCCATGAATTTTTTTAACTTACAGAATAATAAATTCCAGATCCGAATGAGTGTTCATAAGTAATTAATATACTTAAAGGGTGTGTTTGGCAGAAAAAAGCGCTAGCAAGCGCTTGTAAGCAAAATGGCGAAACTAAACAGTTTTCGGCCAGGACACGTTTGCTAACTTCAGTAGCGCTGACACAATCCGCCATTTTGCTTATTCAATTTGTTTGTTTTGCAGTAGAGTATATAAGTTGTTTTGTGCAATATTAGTTTTAACACTCCATTACGCGCGCCCCTGTTTGGGACGCGAGTGCTCGCGCGCTCTACATATGTAGAACTATTTTGTGTAAAGATTTTACAGGAACAATAAACAAATATAAAAATACTTCAATATCATATGAAAACAAACTTTAATAAGAAACTAAAATAGACGAAACATAACTGTTACCATTTATTAGGCACTTAATATCAAACTTCTTGTGAATTTTGAGAAAAATCAATGATTTTTTGGCATCAAACCTTCTCAGTCTCCTTTTTTTACTCGCTCATATCTTCCACACAGTCTTTATCATTTTTACAACATTCAAGGCATTGAAGAACTTGATAATGAGGACGAATCCACTTTTTACAGGTGTCACATTGTTTTCTAGTGGACTTATTGCGCGCTCTGCCACAAAAGGAACATTTCCCGACTCGACCAGTGTTGGGGAGTTGTGCTGGGCATGGTTGTAATTTTGATGGCTCTTTCATGCCCAAAAGCATTTTCCCTTTCATTTTTAATGATTTTGGAATACTTTCAATATTTATTCTGCGTTGTATGCATGGCGCGACTAGGTGAAAACCAAGTTCATATAAAAAATCCTTCCTGGCCTTATTTCTGTAGTCCTTGTTTATTGTATGTACAATATAACCGTTTAAAGCACTTATATTCATTAAATTAAAAAAAATGGTAAGTGGCCATCGCCTAGAGTTTTTGGAGACGTCATAAATACTACAAATTTTGTCTACAATGTCCACGCCATATTTGGTATTGTTGTAAAAAGTTATTATTTCCGGCTTACGTTTGCTGTTTGTAAATCGCTATGATCATCATAGTGCATAGTTGAGTATATAAGCACCACTTTCTTTGATTTTGGCATGTAAGATACTAAAGTACCTTGTTTTTGAAAGCCAAAAATTGAACTCGTTTTGCTTCTGTTTCTTGTGATTTTGAATTCTTTGGGAATTTGTGGCTTATCTTTCTTCACAGTGCCTACGACAGTAATTTTGCTACCTAAGAGTTCTAAGCATTGAGGTATATTCGTGAACCAATTGTGCATTGTGACGTTATAACCTAAACCATCCAATGGGGTAAGCATTCGTAGCACAATGTCCACAACTTTATTTGATTGTGCATAAGGACCATCTGGCTGAGCACCTGCGTATATTTCCATATGGTAGGCATAAGGTACCTTTGTATCCGTTAGTAAAAATATGTTTATCCCATACTTTGCTGGTTGCTTCATCAGTAATAACTTCTTCCAACCATCTCAAAATATGTGCCATCATTGTGCGAAATATAGTTACTTCGGTTAAAAATAATATTATCAAACAAAAAAATTCATAATAACAATATTTATACATAATATAAACACTTACAAATTATAACAACGATAGGAAAACTTCCGACAAAAATGACACGCGAGTGCTCGCGCGCTCTACTATTGTAGAATTTTAGTTTTAGTGCGAAATTTCTAACAAGTACGATCGCGCAGTATACCGAAAGGGTACTAATTGTGATCACCAGCTAGTAATAGAGGAATACTATGAGTGTGTGCGTTAGACACCCACAATTAATGTTAAAATCCCACGAAATGCATGCCTGTTCTACAATAGTAGAACGCGCGACTAATGGAGTGTTAAGAGCCCAGTCTTTCAGAGCAAAACAGAAAAATTGCGTTCTGGTGACACATCTACACCCTCCCTGCCCCGCCACTTCATGTACCGCCACCGCAGTTATCTTTCTGGCCGTAGCGTGGAAAGTTGCTCTACTAAGATTTTCCAGTATCAATTTATCTAATATACAGGATTATTGATAATTAGCTAACAAATTTTCACATACAGATTTTCTACCTCGTATCTATTTTTGTTCCATGCTTTTATTACAAAATTCGTTACACAAAAAAAAATATTTTAAGTTTGTATAATTTTTGTTGTTTTGTTGAAAAGGTTTCTAAAAGATAATCATCTAGAACCTGTATAACATGTACTCGTATTATTGATTATTCAAATGAATCTGGCAAGTGCTAGAATGAGTCGTGCACTGAGGGTTTCGTAATAAGTCGATGACACTATCGAAAATCCGTCAAGTACGTCAAGTAGTTCTAAATACTAAAATAGATTAAAAAAAAAACTCAAAATAATTTCTATATAAGTACAAACAGTCCACTATCACACATATTTATAGTTTCTCATTAAAGTATAATGTAACTTTGTATAGCATTTACCTATATGCATGAATTACTATTCTTGTACAGCAGCATCGACGGACGACTTAGCGCTTTTTTTTAATTTATTTGCAATGGCTTGAATGATGTATGGAGGGTCTTTGATTGGCATCGAGCGTTCCATGCGAGAATCAATTAGCTCAGGAAGCAGACAATTCAAGTAAAATTTAGACAATGGGCCTACCATTTTGTCCTGCGAGAACGCAGGGTCTCTCTTAACATATTCTATTTTCATAGAATGCTCCTCTCCAGTCCATATGGCAAATAAGCACATATCCATCTCCGTAATGTTTAACTGACCCTGAATTTGAAAATAATAATCGTGGTTTTTGTCAACCGAAAAAGTGTTATGTTTTGCATTGTATTTCCAAAATTTTATTTTCTTCGCTTTAACAGCTTCGTCAGATTGCATATTTTTTGCGGAAAATGGACATTTTATTTCTATTAGTCCCGTTTTCCCCTCTTTATTTTTATAAATACCATCGGGACTCGCCCCTAAAAATTGTAGTGTTTTATGTATATATAGACCGCAGCGAGTAATTGTAATACTTTCCTGTCGAGATAACTGAGCCAATGCTGTTTGTTCATTAGCTTTGCCATATTTTATCGATGGAACATTAGATATGATTTGCGGTTTCACAATAGATCTCACTAACGGAGCGCAGCTGACGTTTTCTTTCCGTTTACATATCTTACCAAATATAGACGCGGTTAATCGATTTTTTCTGTTTTCTAACCATTCTTGACTAGAACTTTGATCTATCGTATGTATCTGTAGATCGTCTCTTTGTTGGTCTGAAAGTTCCATTTGCTTAAGAAATTCACTTTTTGACATCTGAAAATCTTCTTCAGTCATATCTGGTCTTTGTGCTTTTTGTCCATAATCTGGATCATCCATGTTTCTACGAAATCTTTTTCGAAAAGATCTTTTGTACACTTTTCTTTTCAGTTTTTGTGTCTCATATGAATGCGTATATTTACCAGTGGGTTTGCCAAATATGCGCTTATAGATTGTATATATTGGTCTTTTCGTGTTAAAAGAAATTGCTGCAGCCACACACCTTTCTTGGTATGAATTTCTTTGTGTGTAATTGATTCGTTTGCCTCCCACATATTTAGCTATCACCGAATTGAATGTTTCAGCGGGATCGCTATCTACGTCAAAAACGAGACTTTTAGCATTTGAAGCTAAGAATGAGACAATTTGACTCATTTTCTCCACAAAACTGTGTTCGCTAAGTCAAGTGCCGTATTACGATCAGTTTTGTCAGTCGCGGGGCATATAGCATCATCGCAGTTAAAGTGACTACCAAAAGAATGGTATAATGCATTCAAAATATCTGATCGAAGT